GCTACCGTTATATGGGGGCTATACGAAAGACGTGGACCTGCATATGTAATTATTTGTCATAGGTTGTATAGTCCATAACAAACTTCCAATATGAAATTTGAAATGTCGCTAAGACCATAAAAATACCGAATATAGAGAGATACCATTGTATGGGGGCTAAACGAAAACGTGGACCGACATGACCCATTTACGAACCTAAACTGCATAATGGCAAAATACACATGTGTGCAAAATATTGTATTGTATAAGAGGTGACTGACTGACTTAAGGTGAGGATACATAAAACGCATTTTGACTGGCTTCAGTCATCAGCTGGCTTCTTCGGAATAAAACAAAGAAGAGCAGGGCCAAAATCGAAGTAAGTAAACCTAAAACTCCTTTGTTCCCCTACAAAGAATCCAGCCGATGACTTAAGCCAGTCAAAAGGCGTTTTATGTATCCTCACTTTTATGGATTCATCAACGCCAAGAGGGAACGGCTTAAGCTAGAATTTGAAATTTTGAGATAGGGTCACTTTTGGTCCGAAGGGGTCAGATGAGTTGGGGTTTTTGGAAATTCATACTAGAACGGTAAGAAAAATACATAAAGGTACTTTGTATTTGACGAACCAGTAGAGCTAGAACTCTTAAATTTTAAATTAGGGTCACTGATGCAGTGTAGGATAGATGTACCAAATGGTTTTGGGAAATTCGAGTGAGTGCACGAAGCTGAAACTTCGAATTTTTGGCGTTGGGAGCCCTGCTGGTTATAGCTTTGTGATAAAGTGGTGGTTTCGGAAATATTTACTATAATTGTACGAAACGTACTAAATAGTACTATACTTGGTGCAATTTGGTATCGGGTAAACAGATAGTGCTTGAAATCTAAAATTTAGTATTAGGCTCGCTGTTCATATGTAGCCCGGACATATAAAGGTGGTTTCGGAAATGTATTCTATAATTGTACGATAAGTACTGAATGTTACTACGTTTGGTATCGAGTGAAGGGATAGAGATAAAGTTCAGAAATTTAATATTTAGTTTACGGATGGAACCTGTGTTTGAGATTTGGTGTTTTGGAAATGAGATCTATATTTGTACGAATAGTACTAAATTTGGTACTATATTTTAGTAATGTTGAGATATGGACGTGTTTTTTTGGAAATGTGTACTACAATTGTTCGAAAGTATTTAGTGGTACTAAATTTGGTATTGAGTGAAGCAATAGAGCTGAAGTTCGGAATTTTGATATAGATGTCTCTGTTGGTATCTGGGATTGAGATATGGAGGTGGTATTGGAAATGTACACTAATTGTTTAAAAATTACTAAATGGTATTAAATTTGGTATTGGGTATAAGGATAGAGATGGAATACCAAAATTTGATGTTGAAGTCTCTGTTGGTATCTGCGATTGAGATGTGAGGGGTGGTTTTGGAAATGTGTACTATAATTGTTCGAAAAATAATAAGTGGTACCAAATTTGGTTATTGGGTGAATTATAGGGCTGGAATTTTCAAATTCGATATTGTGGTATTTGTTGGTATCTGGGATTAAGACATGAAAATGGTTTTGGAAATGTGTACTATAATTGTACGAAAAGTACTAAATGGCAATAACTTTGATTTGATTGGTACTAAATTTGGTATTGGGTGAAGGGACAGGGCTGGAATCCTCAAATTTAATATTGAGGTCTCTGTTGGTATGTGGGATTGAGACATGGAGATGGTTTTGGAAATATGTACTATTATTGTACGTAAAGTCCTAAATCGTACTAAATTTGGTACTGGGTGAAGGAAAAGGGCTGGAATCCCGAAATTTAATATTGAGGTTTCTGTTGGTATCTGAGATGGAGATGATTTTGGAAATGTGAGCTATAATTGTACAAAATGTACAAAATGGAACTAAATTTGATATTGGCTGGAAAAATCCTGAACTGCAATGTGTAGAATTCATTTTTTCCAATAACTACAAGAAAAATCCAGGAGATTATGAAAGTAGAGCATAAAAATTCAAGACACATGTATAGGCGTTTTGAAAGTTAACATCGCAAAATAAACAAAATAAAGGGTCCATTTTGGTACTGTTTTTTAAATATAGTTAAAAATTCTCATTAAACGTGGTCGTACCCTGTCAAAATATTCTACAAATTTATTTGTCATAAAATTCTACTATAGATCCCAGTCTAAACGCCAAGAATTCATATATATTGACAACATATTTTTAAGATTAAACCCGTACTTTGAGTGAGTTTGGGCAAAAATATCTAACAAAGCATCGTTGTAGAAGGATGACGTCAAAGACAAAAATATTCGTCATCAAATTTTATTATATGCCACCAAAGAAAAGAAATCTCTATTTTTATTATATATCAAAAAAATATTTTCATCTATGTTCCCAAAAAAAAAAACCGAAAATATTCGCTATTTCTTTATAAATATTTTCTTGCTCTTTTTTCGATTTTATGACTAAAAGTAACATAAAATTTCATTCTAGGCAGAAAGTGTAAAACGTAGAAATATTCTATACAAAATTTCGCTATAAATCTCAGAATTAACTATATTTATAGGTTTAATGGTTCTTCAGAAAATTAAATTCCAAATATATATATTTCAAGTGAAAAATATGTGCTTAAGTTTTTTACTGCTAATTTAACACGATTTCAATCCAAGTCAAAATCTCCCTTTATTTTTCACATTTTGAAGAAAGTGTCAAAAGAAGAAATATTCTACACAAAATTTCACTAGAAAACTCAGAATAAACCATAGATCTAGTTTTAATAGGTTTTAAGAAAATTACATTCAAAATGTATATATTGCAAGTGAAAAATATGTGCTTAAGTTTTTTACTGCTAATTTAAAACGTTTTCAATCCAAGTCAAAATCTCCCTTTATTCTTCCCTTTTTGAAGAAAGTGTCAAAATAAGAAATATTCTCCACAATATTTCACTATAAATCCCAGAAAAAATAATTTATCTAGGTTCAATAGTTTTTTAAAAAAATTACAATCGAAATTGATGTATTACAAACGAAAATTCTATGTTTACGTTTCTTACTGTTAATCCAACACGTTTCTAAGTCTACGTCAAAATCTCCCTTAATACTCAATTCATTGGGGAAAGTAACAAAAGAAGAAGTATTCTAGATCGACTTTGAATGTGAGTCTCTGGACAAAATATATCTGTATACTTAATATGCTGTCCAAAAAAATCGAAAATATTTCTTAAGTTTTTAAATCAATCAGCACTTTTTTTCTTGTTTTTTATATATATTTTCTTTTTTGAGTTGACTCATGAAATTAGCATAAAATCTCATTTTAAACAGAAAGTGTAAAAAGTAGAAATATTCTATACAAAATTTCACTAGAAAACTAAGAATTAACTATATTTATAGGTTTAATGGTTTTTAAGAAAATTAAATTCCAAATATTTATATGTCAAGTGAAAAATATGTTCCTAATACCGCTAATTTAACACGTTTTCAATCCAAGTCAAAATCTTCCTTTATTCTTCATTTTTTCAAGAAATTGTCAAAAGAAGAAATATTCTATACAACATTTCACTATATATCTAAGAATAAATCATATATCTAGGTTTAGTAGTTTTTAAGAAAAATTCATCCGAATTTTATATATTGCAAGTGAAAATTATGTGTTTACGTTTTTTTATGTTAATTTAACACGTATGCAAAACAAGTCAAAATCTCCATTTTTTCTTCACTTTTTGAAGAAAGTGCCAAAAGAAGAAATATTCTCCACAATATCTCATTATAAATCCCAGAATAAATTGTTTATCTAGGTTCAATAGTTTTTAAGAAAAATACAATCGAAATTGATGTATTACTAACAAAAATTCTATGTTTACGTTTCTTACTGTTAATCTAACACGTTTCTAAGCCTACGTCAAAATCTCCCTTAATACTCAATTCCTTGGGGAAAGTGCCAAAGGAAAAAATATTCTAGATCAAATTTTAATGTTAGTCTCTGGACAAAATATATCTGTATACTGAATATGCTGTCCCAAAAAAGTTGAAAATATTTCTTAAGTTATTAAATCAATCAGAACTTTTTTTTTTTGTTTTTTTTTAATATTTCCTTCTCTGAGTTGACTCATGAAAGTAGCATAAAATCTCATTTTAAACAGAAAGTGTCAAAAAAAGAAATATTCTACACAAAATTTCACTATAAATCTCAGAATTAACTATATTTATAGGTTTAATGGTTTTTAAGAAAATTAAATACCAAATATATATATTTCAAGTGAAAAATATGTGCTTAAGTTTTTTACTGCTAATTTAACACGTTTTCCAAGTCAAAATCTTCCTTTATTCTTCACTTTTTCAAGAAAGTGTCAAAAGAAGAAATATTCTATACAACAATTCAATATATATCTCAGTATAAATCATATATCTAGGTTTAGTAGTTTTTAAGAAAAATTCATTCGAATTTTATATATTAGAAGTGGAAATTATGAGTTTTGCTGTTAATATAAAACGTTTCTATATTAAGTCAAAATCTCCCTAAATAATTAATTTCTTGTAGATATGGTCAAAGGAAGATCAATTCTAGATCAAATTTCAATATGAGTCACTGAACAAAAGAAATTTGTATACTTAATATTTACCATAGGAATCTGCCATCAATTTGGGTTTATAAATAAAGCCTTTTGATTTTCGATTAAATCACTCCAAATTTTCTTATAATTTCACTGGGTAATAGCCACTTGGGAAAATGTCAAAAACAGTCTACAACACTTGGTTTGTGGTTTTCATCCCCAAAAGAATTTTCGGTTCTTATGCAAACTTTTGTAAGGTCTTTATATAGCCATGACCATACACAAAGGGACCCCAATATTTAGATATATATTTTGCAACATAATAAAGTATTTAAAAAATATTTTTTATATAACTCTTTTTAATATATTTTATTTATTTAAACTTATTTTATTTATTTTAAATTTATTTTACTTACGATATTCACAATTTTTCTAATAAGAGAAATATTTTCCTTTTCATCTCTTCACACAGCACTCAAGACATTGGGGCCATAATTCAAAACATCATTGAAATCGTTGTATTTTTCATCAAATTCTGGTATGCCACCATTGAGGGTTTCATCCGCGGTTTCATGAAGAAGGAGGAGGTAGATGTTAGCGGTAAATTTGTATTCATCACCGGTACCGGTCATGGCATGGGCAAGCAAATGGCTTTGCAATATGCCGCCTTGGGCGCCAAGGTTCTCTGCGTTGATGTCAACGAGAAGAACAACAGTGAAACCGTTAAGGAGATCAAGCAAAATGGTGGTTCGGCCTTCGGTTATACGTAAGTTGGAAATGATTTGTGAAATTCGAAAGCAATATTTATGATAAATTTTTCTCGTTTTTTTCCACGCCCATAGCTGTGATGTTACCAATCGCGAAGCCATCTTTGCCCTGTACGAACAAATCAAGAACGAACATGGTTTCGTTGAAATCATTGTCAACAATGCCGGTATCATGCCATGCCGTCCATTGTTCGAACTGACCGAAAAGGAAATCCGTTTGATGTACGACATCAATGTGTTGGCTCACTTCTGGGTATGTTTGGGTTTGGACGGTTTGTTGTTTTGGGAAATATTATTAAAGCTATAATTCTGATTGTTTTAGATCTTCCAAGCCTTCTTGCCCGACATGGTTGCCCAAAACAAGGGCCACATTGTTGCCATGTCCTCATGTGCTGGTCTCTTCGGCTTGCCCAACTTGGTGCCATACTGCGGTACTAAATTCGCCGTTCGCGGTTTGATGCAATCCATGTACGAAGAATTGCGCAAAGCCAACAAGGATACTCAGGTAAGGATACTCAATAATGTGAATGTGAGAGATGGATAAAATGTCGATAGTATTTTAATAATGTGTATAAAATTGGTTTATCCACATAATGTGGATAACATTTTTATGTTATCCTCATAACGGGGATAACATTTATATGTTATCCACATTACGTGAATAAAATTTTTATATTATCCACATAACGTGGATAACATTTATATGTTATCCGCATGACGTGGATAACATTTATACGTTATTCGCATGACGTAGATAACATTTTTATGTTATCCACATGCGGTGGATAACATTTTTATGTTATCCACATGACGTGGATAACATTTATATGTTATCCGCATGACGTGGATAACATTTATATGTTATTCGCATGACGTAGATAACATTTTTATGTTATCCACATGACGTGGATAACATTTTTATGTTATCCACATGACGTGGATAACATTTATATGCTATCCACTTGGCGTGGATAAAATTTTTGTGTTATTCAAATAACGCGGATAACATTTTTATGTTATCCACATGACGTGGATAACATTTTTATGTTATCCACATGACGTGGATAACATTTATATGTTATCCATATAACTTAGATAACATTTATATGTTATCCACATGACGTGGATAACATTTTTATTTTATCCACATGACGTGGATAACATTTATATGTTATTCGCATGACGTAGATAACATTTTTATGTTATCCACATGACGTGGATAACATTTGTATGCTATCCACTTGGCGTGGATAACATTTATATGTTATTCAAATGACGCGGATAACATTTTTATGTTATCCGCATAACGCGGATAACATCTATATGTCATCCACATAACGTGGATAACATTTATATATTATCCACATGACGTGTATAACATTTATATATTATCCACATAACGTAGATAACATTTTTATGTTATCCACATAATGTGGATAATATTTTTATGTTATCCACATAACACGGATAACATTTATATGTTATATACGTGGGTGGATAACATTTATATGTTATCCACATGACGTGTATAACATTTATATATTATCCACATAACGTAGATAACATTTTTATGTTATCCACATAATGTGGATAATATTTTTATGTTATCCACATAACACGGATAACATTTATATGTTATATACGTGGGTGGATAACATTTATATGTTATCCACATGACATGTTATCCACATGACCTGGATAACATTTACATATTATCCATGTGACGTGGATAACATCTTTATGTTATCCACACAACGTGGATAACATTTATATATTATCCACATAACGTATATAACATTTTATAACGTGGATAACATAAAAATGTTATCCACATATCGTGGATAACATTTATATGTTATCAACCTGTTAAACTTTTTAATCAAACTACTAACCATTTCTCAATTTTTGATTTCCTTTCAGATCAAATTCACCACCATCTACCCCTACATGGTCGATACCGGTCTGTGCAAGAACCCACGTTTCCGTTTCTCATGGATGAAATTGGTCGATCCCAAGGAGGCTGCCGCATCCATCATTGAAGCCCAACGCACCGGCTTGGAAGAAGCCTCCGTGCCCCGCCACTACCTCTACAGTGAAAAAGTCGGTCGCATCTGGCCCCGCAAGGCTATGCGCATTGCCAATGACTTTGTCGATACTTATGTAGAATCTGATAAGAAATAAGCAACTATTTATAGACTGTCAAAATACAAAAAAAAACTAAAACAAAATAAATCCTCTACAAAAGAGCTCTCTCCATTGGAGAGCAAATGCGGGAGAGAGAGGCTGCATCCAAAGAATTTCGATTCGAAAATCTTTTTTTTACTTTGGAAAAAAATTTGAATCGAAACGAAAATGAGGAAAATTACTTAAATTTTAATTTAAAATAATAATATTAACTGTTGTTGTTTTGTATAATTGTTTTTATAAATAAATGTTTTTTATATAAAATAAAAAAAAATAAAACACACGGTTTTTTTTTTTGGTTCAACTTTGTTTTTTGTAGGAAGGTGTACATAAATAGTTTCATTTTTATTTGGATTTTCTTTTTCGAGTTTTTTGGTTTTAATGTATTTACAAAGAGTTTCTTACAGACATACATACATATTGTTTTTTGTATTAACTATAGTGTTCTTGTTGTTGTGGTCATTAATTGGTAGTGTCATGCTATAGGATATTTGTGTTCGATTTTTGTAATTGTTTGTTTTTTTTTATTTTTTGTTGTTACAATTTTGTAATATAATAACATATCCACACATATGTCTTTATATAATTCAACTAACAAACACACGCATATCAATTGAACAATGCTTTGATTTATGTTTGTTAAAATAATAATTTAATTTGTTAATATTTAATTTTATTTATCCATTTCAAAATTAATCGATTTTTTAATAAATCACTGAAATTACGCTTAGAGAAAGACAAATTTATAACGGTCCAATCTTATAGATGACGTTAGAGCCATATGTTAAGTGACATTTTGTACAATTATGTGGCGTTTTATAGCATACTTTTAGGCGCTCCCAGTATTTTTTGTATAAATCAAGTAAAAAAGCAGTAAGTTCAGCCGGACCGAACTTTCAATACCCTCCACAATTTCGGACGAATTAGGAAATTTTCAAAAAAAAAAAAAAAAAATAAAAAAAAATAAAAAAAAAAATTAAACAAAAAATAAAACAAAAAATAAAAAAAAAAAAATTAAAAAAAATAAAATCCGTTAAGAAATACTGTTAAAGTAGTCATGTATAGGTTCTTGTCAATTGTTAATTTTGTTCATTTTTTGTTAATTTGTTTAAGTGTTTAATTTTAAGTAAGTCTTTCAAGATTAAGGATATAATTAATTTATAGTAGTCATGTATAGAAATTTTTGGAACCGTGCATGGCCCTATCGGCTAGGTTTCTGTACAAACAGAATAGGCAACTTTTGTCATAAGACAATATTCAAATACGAAACTTGAAAAAAAATCCGGTAAATTATGTAGCTAAAATCATCAAAATACCGAATATAGGGAGGTACCGATATGTGGGGGCTATACGAAGACCTGGACCTGCATAGACAATTTTCTGTCACAGACGAAATTTCAAACAATTTCGGTGAATATTGTACCTAAAAACATCAAAATGCCGAATATAGCGAGGTACTGATTTATGGAGCCTATACGAAGAGCTGGTGCTGCATAGACAATTTTCTGTCATAGACTGTAGTACCCATTCCGAACTCTAAATACAAAATTTGAAACAACTCGGGTGAATAGTGTCGCAAAAATCATCAAAATACCGAATATTGGAAAGTAACGTTACATGGAGGCTATACGATGACGTAGACCTACATAGACAATTTTCTGTTGTAGGTTGTAGTACCCATTACGAACTCTAAATACGAAATTTGAAACAACTCCGGCCTGAAAAGCAGCACTTGGGGTGCGTATAAGGAATCCTTGTTGACCTCTTATAAAGCGCAGTGGAAAAGTATTGAGATCTGCCAGAATGCGGCTCTGAGAACTGCAACAGGGTGCCTCTTCATGCCCCTGGACCATTTACATGAAGAGCATTACGTCAGCATAATCATATGCTATCGTTGCAGTACCTGCATGGGTGTTATCGTGGGAGTCATCCTAACCACCATATGGTGGATAGAACTTACCCACCCAGGCGTGCCAGGAAGGACCTGTATGATGTAGAGAGTGAGGTCCAGCAGCTGAAGAACGCCGGCTACCTAGACCCAACTACGTTCTGGATGGTGCAGCCGTCTCAATTTATATTGGGCACGAATTGATAATGATGTGCGGAACGCCTGCCCAGCGTGCGATACAGGCCCGCACAATACGCTGCACCTATTTACTTGTCCAGCTAAGCCTACCCAACTACGTCCAGAGAATCTTTGGCTACAGCCCATAAAGGTAGCAGAATTCCTAAACATCATCTGGACATCGAGGAAGAACCGGAACAATCAGTCAATAAACAACGGAGCACCTTATCACTGCTACAACAACAACAGAAGGACTGACAGGGTTAAGTTGTATTACAATTTTACGCTGATCAAGAATATATATACTTTGTTATGTCTAAAATTATTATTTTGATGAGTTTCAAACGGAATGACGAACTTTATACACTACCCATACTATGTTTGGTGGAGGGTATAAATAGGGTTTTATATATACCTCCTTGATACTGGTGACCTTTCGTACTCTAATCTCTTACACTAAGAGGTCTCCAATGTTACTGAGGGCATATTATGGCTGTGGAGGACAAACATAACAAATCAGGTGGACAATATATAGGGAGCTATAGCTATATCTGAACCGATTTTCATCAAATTTGACACAGTTGTTTCTAGACTCAATTTGGTCATAAGTGTCAAATTTCATACTATTTGGGCTGATATTACACAATAAAAGGCAAATCGGCGAAGATATATATGGGAGCTATATCCAAATCTGAACCGCTCTCGATAAAATTTAGCAAAGGTATTTCTGAGCTGTATTCGATATATTTTCCCAAATATCTTTGTTACAGAGTGCATACTACGTCTGCGGAGGACAAAAATAACAAATCGGATAAACATTATATATGGGAGCTATAGCTATATCTGAACCGATTTTCACCAAATTTGACACACTTGTTTCTAGACTCAATTTAATCATGACTGTCAAATTTCATACCATTTGGGCTAATTTTACACGTTTGGTGCTCAATAAAAGGCAAATCGGACGAAGATATATATGAGAACTATATCCAAATCTGAACCGATCTCGATAAAATTTAGTAAAGGTATTTCTGAGTGTATTTGATATATTTCCCCAAATATCGTTGTTACAGAGTGTGTACTACGGCTGCGGAGGACAAAAATAACAAATCGGATGAACAATATATATGGGAGCTATTGATATATCTGAACCGATTTCGATCATATTTGGCATCCTTATTTTTAGGTCTAATTTAGTCACATGTGCAAAATTCCATACTATTTGGGCTGATATTACACGTTTGGTGCACAATAAAAGGGCAAATCGAACAAAGATATATAAGGGAGATATATCTAAATTTTGTCCGATTATCTCCAATATCAGTTTAGTAAGTCCAACTTCAACCCTCTCTCTTGGACCCGGAGTTTCGGAAGAATATTCGGGCATCTGGGTCCGTCCTCCAAGAAAAATTTACTTTCCCGAATTCAGGATATGAATACCTACCTCTGGAAAATTCGACTCTTTTTACTAAACTAGAGTTAAGCTCCTAGATGGCACTCTGATGTCATGAGAAGATACAGGTCTCAGGTAGGGGTTTTGGCAGGTCTGAATACTTCTTCCCACTGTGTAGCAATAGCTTTCACAGTTTTCTAGTACCAGGCTTGCAAAGAATGAGGTTTACAACAGTTGACCAGGAAGATATAACCTTTAAATGACTCCGCTTTGGCATTCCTCTGCTTTATACAATTCACTGTTTCATTTTGCTACCACGCACAAGACACTGCAGTTGAGGTTCTACTGTTCAGTCGCTCCTACGACTACTCACTGGAACTACGCTGTAGCAGACGCTGGTATTTTATATCAAATTTCCATCTTCATCAATTTATAAGGCGAATAAACAAATTCATTTCTAAACAAGTAAGCAAAGGCTACAGTCGAGCGGGGCCGACCGTTGAATACCCTACAACACTATAATAAACCATACAGTTTATATAGGCGAAATACTCGAAAGAATTCCACAAGATATTGTGACAAATAATAAAAGAAAACCATCAGGTTTCGTTCTCTAATTTTCGAATAATAGCAACTTAAACTAATTTGCTCATTTCCAATTTATTAGTAGATGTTGCACTTAAATGGTCTTCCTAGATCTGGAACCAATATTTCCCAAAACCTATAACCTCTCAGAAGTGGCAAAAGATTAACATTTATTATTGGTTTTTGACTGAAACGCATCTATATGAGATACAGACATTTGACTATATTCTTCAACGAAATCAGCGTTAACGAAATAGTCAGAAGTGAGTCTTTCCTGTATTTGTGAATTCTCCAAAAAGTCACTGGAATGGGCATTTTCATATTTTGTCTACAAAAGTTGGCAAACTATTTCACACATTGAATATATTTGGATGGCCATCCAAAACTGCTTGGCTTTGTCAATGTCCGGTAACCCCCATTCAAATGTGCGTGAGGATCGGGCGATAATTACTGTAATGGCGCTTGCAACTTGTTAAAATATTTCAAAACTTTCGTTATTATTATTTATTTTTTTTTTTTTTAAATCCAATTTTTTTCAACTGCTTTTTTGAATAGGCGACCTCTATACGACAGGTTTCAATGGAATTGCGAAAGATTTCTATCAACCCTTTTGTCGTTTTTCTGCACATTCATGCTAGCCATTTTCTAAAGTTTTTGGAAACAATGATTGCTTGGAAGATTAAAGAAGGTTTCATCTCACCAAAAATCATAAGAATCGTCCATTTTGCCGTAACAGAGTCCAGCGATCAACACCTTCAATTACAAAAATTTCTGAAGTGGTGCAAATTTCCCTGTCATTTATCAGTAGATAATTTGGTTAATTGCAGTTTTTTTTTATATTGTGGAAAAAGATTTTAATTTTCTGTAAGTACTCTGCCCGTTGCCGATTCGAATTAATATTAAAGAAAGTGTATATATTTTTGCTTAAAAATTTTCTTATTCTCAGAATATACCTTCGCGCAGTATCGTAATTTCATACTTTTTATTAAAATCGTAAGCTCAGTTG